TTTGAATTCTCTTCCAATGGTTGGGATAGAGTCCTTCTCAGTTCCTGGAGACATGGGTTTGGGGATTTGGGTCTCATGTGTTTGTCCAATGAGATCATTGATCTCTGAGAGCACATTGGACACCCTGTCACTCTCACTTATGCGATTTATTTCCTCATTTTTGAGCCAAAGAAAAATGTTTTGAAGAAATCTCCTCACCTCGTCTTCTGTTCTGGCATAGAAGATTTCAGGGCAAATTTCTGTTTGGCCAGAAATGTCACTTATGTTCTCACTAGAGAGGACAGACTCTGAAATGTTTTCAGGAGGAACAGGAAGGTTACAATAATGGCTACTGGTGATATCAGTATATAATTTATCTGTCAGTTCCTTGGAAAACTGCTTGATCTTGTCATTCAACTGTGGGTTTTTCATGAATTCTGCACACAGTCTGTCAATTTGAGGTTTGATGGACTGAAAATCCAGCTTAGAAATTTGGTCTGTTTTCATCCCTAATGAATCTTCAGGGACACATCCAGGAAACATGAGGCGAGCCAATGTGTTTGACATATATACATCTTGTTTCAGTTTCACCACATTTGTGTCACTGGAGTCCTTGAATGAGATCTCCAAAGAAGACGCCATGGTGGCAAACTGATCCTTTGCAAATTTGGAAAATTGTGGTTTTTTGACTATTTCTTCTTTTCCAACAGGATCCGCTTTGCCCTTTGACCGGAAAAGGTTTCTGATATCACCAACAATCTTTTTCAAATTAAAATGAGGAGCACATGAACAACTTGGATCTTTCTCTCCAACTGAACCTTCAGCCTTACAGTAATGAAGGTCGTCAATAATCGTTTTACTAATTCCATCTGCAACCTCGTTTACTTTGAAATGATCTGGGCAAAAATCGGCATCATCTTCTGCACCTTTCGAATCACCTGCGTCATCAGAATATTTCTCTATGATTTCAGCAATGCTCTCGCTAACTGAGGCCACAGAATAGAAAGATTTCACACTAGGAGAAACACTTCTCTCTGTGAGGTCAAAGGCAGTCTCTGCTTCTGCTGGAGACACGCCTGATGTTCGTTTTTTTGTGAATGCACTCCAATATCTTTCGATGCATCTCGAGCTGACTCTGTTTATGTGTTTGCGAAGACACTGAACTGCATTGGAAACCATTTTGTTGAAATTTCTCAAGTTAGAAATGCAACCACTTGCAAACACTGCTGGTTCTGCAGGAAAACTAGCGGTCCTCTTGATGCCATTTGCAATGGACGTTACTTTCTCAGAGACCTCCTGTTCCATCAATGAGTTCAACTCCATGCTGCTCTCACAGACTTCTTCTGGTGGAGACACCTCGAGGACAATGGCCATTTCTGTTGAAATCATGTTGGTCAAATGCACACTGATGTTTTCATTTGGCATTTTAGTCTTCATGCATTTTGTCATACAATCTTCCAATATTGGCACAAGGACAGTCAGTGAATTTTCCACACATTGTTGAAAAATGTTGGTAAGTATGTCAGCCATGACAGCTGTTATATGTGAATCCCTTAGACCCTGTGAAAGCAAGGTCCACTGTGCTGGTGTTAAAGTGTTCAGGCGGGGCAATATAATGTCCTCCAGGTTGTCAATGGAAATGTGGATGCTTCTGTTCATTTGCCCGTTTGACTCTTCCATTTTTCAAAGTTTTTTTTTGTTCAAAGTTTTCTGTCAAGAAACGACGTTCTGCTCACTACGACTTCTCTTCTTGGAATTAAGTTTACTTCAAACTAAACCGTAGCAGCAAGCTGCCTTTGATAATGGTTCACGTCATATTCCATTATGACGTGAACCATATGCGCATGCGTATTAGACATAACTTGTAAACTATCTCCAGAGAACAGCCAGTTTACATTATGTGCCATTTTGCACTGTATTTATGTAACGTTATTATGACACATTGTCTCAATGTTTGCAGCCCCCTCGCAGTGGTCATATTGCACTGTATCTTTTTGTACTATTATCTATTTTGAGTCTCAAAAAACTTGTACAATAAAAAAGCTCAACAGTAGGGTAGCTCTGGTGTCGAGTTCTGGTTCAGCTAACTGTTCATGTTCAAAGTTGTTGCTTTTAGAAACGTGTGGCCGTGTTCCTTAAGGTCTCCGTGTTATTTCGTTTTATTACTTTCGCATGCTTCTTGTGAAGAGCTCATATAGGACAGTGTTTACAGCAGTGCAGGCGGAACAGTTGCTCGGCTGTCTGGCTCTGGTCTGTTGACTCATTCCAATACATTCGCTCTTTCCGGCTGAATACAGAAGTTGTTCCATGGAAATAACAGAAATGGCTCCTTTATTTACCATCCATCTCACCCCGGTAGTTTTTAGCAGAAGAAGCTGTTCCGGAGTGAAGGCTGCTAACTTTGCTGTTCGGCGTTAGCTTCAAGTGGTAGCGACGAATATTAACAAGCCACCTTCTTCTTAATTCAGGATCGTTTGGAGATCCATGAAAACTTTAAAACCCATTATATTAGGAAGACAACAATGTTCATAGTATTGCTTTATTTGCACCTGAAATACCTTATCTTTCCTAGCTGTCATGGTTAACTCAAAGCGGGAACAAGAAAGCTGCATTTTTCTCATATGCAAAGAGCCCATATCACGTGGTATTTTACATAGTCCTGTAATTGTAAAAACTTAAGCAGAATTTCTAACCATCCAACCTGAGTTGCAATGGAATGATATAGATCAAAGGCTATCCCTGTTTTTGTGGCCCAGTCAAAGTCCAGATGCAAATGCAGTTGAGCGTACATGGAAAGACTGCATTGTTCTCAAAACTCAACTTTTCCCCAGTAAGCCTCCCAGGCTTGAAAGTTAGCCTACCTGCTGGATCTTTAGTCTCCTCCCTTGTGGAAGCTCATTAGGGCTTTATGGGCCAACTCAACTTCTAATCAAACTAAGCTTGAGTCTTTTTTTTTGGGCAAAGAGTAAGTAAACATGGTTTAATGTCTAAAGACAACAAGTTGGGTGTTCTGGAATGGCCTAATCAAAGCCCAGACCTCAATCCCATAGATATATAATAGGTCTTGAAAGGGGCTTTAAAAATGTTGACTAATACAGTTACATTTACTGTCATCTCGTCCTGCAGCAGCACCAGGTGACGTCCACCCTGAGGAGGATCAACACCCGCAAAGCTACAGGACCGGACAAGGTATCAGGCCAGACGCTGAAAACGTGCGCCGACCAGCTGGCAGGAGTGTTTCTGGACATTTTCAATCTGTCCCTGCAGTTCACCATGGTTCCTGAGTGTCTCAAGTCTTCCACCATCATCCCTGTACCGAAGAAGACGACCATCACCAGCCTGAACGATTACCGGCCCGTCGCTCTGACCCCGGTGATCATGAAGTGCTTTGAGAGGATTCTTCTGAGGTACATCAGACACTTGATCCCTGCAGACCTGGACAGCCTCCAGTTCGCCTACAGAGCGAACCGGTCAACAGAGGATGCTGTCTCCATCACTCTGCACACAACCCTGACCCATCTGCAGCATCCCAACACTTACGTCAGGATGCTATTTGTAGACTTCAGCTCAGCATTTAACACCGTCATCCCAGACAAGCTGGTGCTGAAGCTACTCCAGGTGGGGCTGCCTGCTTCACTGTGCCACTGGATCATAGACTTCCTCACCAACAGGCCTCAGGTGGTGAGAATAGAGAGCCCTGCTCTCTTCACCCTGTTTACACACGACTGCGTTGCCATCCACCCCACCAACACAGTCGTCAAGTTTGCGGACGACACAACAGTAGTGGGTCTCATTTCAGACAACAACGAGACCCACTACAGAGAGGAGATTCTGCAGCTCACTCAGTGGTGTTCAGCCAATAACTTGGTGCTGAACACAGGGAAGACCAAGGAGGTCATTGTGGACTACAGAAGGTCCAGGAGGACGGGTCACACTCTCCTTCTCATAGATGGAGAAGAGGTGGAGCGTGTGGACAACATCAAGTTCGTGGGCCTCCACATCACGTCTGATCTCTCCTGGAATACCAACACCTCCCACCTGGTGAAGAAAGCACAACAAAGGCTCTTCTTCCTCAGGAAACTGAGACGTGCTGAACTTTCTTCACGGCTGCTCGTGAACTTTTACAGGGCAACGACCGAGAGCGTCCTCTGCCTCAACGTGACTGTGTGGTATGGTAGCTGCACAGCACTGGAGAGGAAACAACTGACACGGGTGGTGAGAACAGTACAAGGCATTGTGGGATGCCCCCTCCCAGACCTGGACTCTATTTACATAGGCCGGGTCAAGAAGAGAGCTGGATCCATAGCCATGGATTCCAGCCACCCGGGCCACAGACTGTTTGTGCCGCTGCCATTAGGAAAGCGGTACAGGAATATACGGACTACAACAAACAGACTGAGAAACAGTTTCTTCCCCACAGCCGTCAGAGCCATTACTCCCTGCCGCCCCCTCCCACACATATCATAACCTCACATACACCCCCCACCCCCACACAGCCATATTGTTCTGCACTTGCACTGTCACATCATCTGCACTTTACTATAATTGGACCTGCTGCTTCTTCTTTGGTGTGGTTGAGTGCCTTTAGTTAATTTTAGTTGTATATATTATTATTATTATTGTGTGTTTGTTTATTTAATATTGTATATATTTGACTTTTTGCACGGGAGTTGCAATAGAAATTTTGTTGAATCCTGTTCAATGACAATAAATGCTATTCTATTCTATTCTATTTCGATTTTGATACAGAATAAAATTGCAATAAAGACCCAAATAATTGGCTAACAGTTTTAAAATGGTTTTTTGGTAATCTGCTCGCTTATAACCATGAAAATTATATGGCTTCTTTTTCATGACCAAACATATTTTTTGTGCAATTTGTTTCATAGAATAGCAGAAAGTGTCAAAGCCTTCTTTCAGCCAGCTATCTGGCAGTATTGAGCAAGAAGTGAAAACCAAAACAAAAAAAGACTTTTCTTCAATCACACAAGAACAGAATCCAACATTAGGACTGGGCAAAATTAAAAGGTCAATAATAGTTTTAATTGATGCATGTTACATTCAAACCCATTGCGTTCCTCCCACACATAACTGCAGACGTACATACATTGTTTTCCTCTATCGCCTCAGCTGAGAAACACTACAGACAATTTGTGAATGCCTTAGGCTATCTTATATTTACAAATCTTCCACTTCTATACATAGCAAGTCCTTAAATACAGTCAACAACAGAGGAGTAACAGAAACAATGTGTGACTGATTGTATGCAATTTCTTCAAAGCATATTTAATTAACTTTCCTTCCAGAAAAGGCGTGTGCATATAGCACTGTCATAAAAAGTGAGTCACAATTAGACATGATAGGTTAAAAATTCCACAAAGCCTCTTCATTCATATTTCACAAGATAAAACTCTTCCTTCAGCAGGTATTTTCTTTCAAAATGCAAAGAAGTACAAAAAGACATGTAAGGTAGCAAAGAAAATTGTTAAAATGTGCTCAGTGCATTAAGACTTTCCAATATCCAATATATCAAAAAGAAACTAAGAGGTGTTTTGCCCTGTTCCATCTTTCTGATAAATAAAAGTCACATTATTACAGGCAGACAGTCAGAGGACATTCATCAAAACTAAGATACAGTGAAAAAATACAAGTGAAATATAAAGCAAAAATGAAAGTTCGACGTACATTTGTGTAGGCCAAAACTTCAAACTTAACAGAAGTTCAATTTTTTTAAAGGGTTTTCAAAGAAATACAGCTTAAATCAGCAAATTTGACAAAGTTTATATAGCATGGTGCAGAAATCTTAAGCCTTTACACACATGGCTGACTCAAGATTTGTGCACTTTGTCATCAAACTGTGAGCTACGGCGAGCGCTTTGGCTGAAGAAACCATCTTACGGATGTTGTTTAGAAGACACACACTGTGCAAAGTTTCAGTTTGGTATCTGCAGCGGCTTCACACCTAAACCAGACCTGAGTTTGGTCTAAGCTTAGCCCTGCAAGCATCAAGACCAAACCCAGAACCTCTATCAGTAAACTAAAGCACTACTGAGAAACTAATGGCATTTTGTTGATAGATTCTGAAGGGAAAAAAAAATGATAATTTAAAATAAAATGTAGTCTTGAAATTTCGTTAATTTAAAATGACAACTTTCAGTTTTTAATGCCACGTTCAGAACTCTTAAGACCTCCCAGACCTCATGTAGTGTCGACTGACTGGCTGAACGAGCAAAATAAGAAACACACAGTACTGGCAGCTGTGTGATAGGAGAGTCATGCTTGAAGCACAGGGGACATGAAAAATGACATTCGCATTCAGTAAAAGATCACAAGAAAATGGGAGGAAACTGATGGACTGACCAAATGCCAAACGTGAGGTTTGCATGAGGAAGACTGTAACTGGCGCTAGCAAGAAATAAAATGTGGATAGTTAGTGGTGAGATAAGATTATGGGTCAACCTTATCTTCTTTGTCTTGCAAAAACACAGTTGTGTCAATTAAACGTTTTTATCCATGGCAAATGTCCAAACAGAAATCTGTTTTGATTGATGATAAAAACAGATTTGGGCACAATTTCATGTTACTAAACTCCATAAAATCATGTAATAATCACAAAGGTGTAAGGAACGTTTTTTACAAGTTCAGAAAGGCCAACATTGTTAGTGACGTATTGCATTAAAGACCAAGCAAACCTTTTCTTTGCTGCAAAGTCTGAACCTAAACACGAACAGAGACAATGACTATTAGACTCTCCATCATTCAGAGCCAGGGTGAGCAGCTGGAATACAGAAATGTTGGTGTTTCTCCCTCACCTTGGCATGGTTTCTGACACTTTGATCTCGGAGTCAAAGGCAAACAGTGTTGATATATGTATTCATATAAATAACAAAATAGTACAGTATAAATATAAAGATTTTTGTGTGTGTGTTTGTGGATGTATGTGTGAACGCAACTGTATGTTGTGTAGAGGTTCAGGGTAAGAGTGTGTGTGAGCCAGTGTTAGGACAGGATGGAGGGAGTGGGGTTAGAGATGAGCCTTTCCATCTCCAACTTCGTGGAAGAGGGAGGTGTAGAACTCAGGCTCCAGTTGTTTGTTGCGATAGCGCTGCACAATTTCAGTGATCTTCTGTTTTCGCCTCACATGTGGCGGGTTGTACAAGTCGCTCTCCAGGCGCTTCCGTCGGCACACGTTGATCACCGTCTGACGCACGACAAACCCTGAAAGGCAGACCCAAAGGAAAGAAAAACTAAATAACAATTTCTTCACATCAAAATTCTATTTTTCTATTAGCTTTTAAAGTTTCATACACATCTGAGGAAACTGTAAGCACCACAACAGCTCAGGTGGGACAAATGCCATTGAAAGTTAAACTCAAAATCCTACTTTTAAAGTCAAATATAGCCACATATTTATGACATCAATATTTAAGGAGCACCTATTATTTTTATTTCTTACACTTCCATTTGGGTCTCAACTGCTTTCAAAAACAATCAAGAAAAAAACACCACCCAAATGTTTTTTGGGAAATAAACTTACTTTTTTTGGTGTCTGGAAAATTATCCATTCTAAAAACCTCCTGATTGTTGAGTAACACTGCACCGTTACCTAGCAACCACGTCCAAGCTGGTTGTTGAATTACTATTCAGAAATCACTGTCTGCATTCTTGTTAGTTGTCCACATCTGCTTGTCAAAGATGTACAGCTGTATACAGTAATTGTACATCTGTTTGCAGCAGTTTTCACATTTGAGTGGAAATGCTGAGTTGAGGGGGCGTGGCCAGCATATTTAAAGTGACAGGAGACTCTAAAACAGCTCAGAATAAACCAAAGTCTCATGTGTTGAAAGGCCCATAGAACCATAGAACTGCCCTAACCTTTTCATGGAAAAAACTAAATAATAACTAAACATACAGTTTCCAGTAGTCAGCTATCACATGTTGGCCAGTCACAGCCCCTTGCCACAGTTTTACCTAGAGCCCGGCGGCTGACCACTATGCCATCCACCAGGGGGATCACCAGGCCAAATTTGCCCACAGCTCCATGCAGCCTGATCCGGAAGAGTCCCGTCTTTAACGGTTGAATGAAGATCAGAGGAACGTCCTTTTCCAACAGCCCTGACCTGGAGCAAAGACCAGGAAGGAGTATGTTTAAAAAATACACTTGCAATGGTCATCTTTGATTATTTATTTGTAAAATATATCTAAAATGTCTTAGCTTAATTCTAAAATGGGCAAAATGAGTGAAAAATGGCAGTGAAGTTGGTTTAAGGTAGCCTCTTCATGGTGACATTAGAACAGGAATCCATGAGTCATGTCTCCATGAAGAACACAAAGTTCATACAACAAAACAAATAATTTTCAAGAGACCATTGTTACAATCTAACACAAAAACCTAATGCAGAACAAGCTTATCTATTGAGAATGAGGACTATTTCAACTAAAAGACTAAATGCCTATGAAATAAGGATGAAGGACAAAAAAATAATGAAAAGATTGAAGCAGACACAAATGTACTTTTACTGTTGCTTGTATTATAAAGCCTTTTTACATTTGACTTGTTTGCACCAACATGTTCCAGGTTCACCAGAAAGCGTGTTGAAATACATGTTGGTCTCCAACTTAGCTTAACTTTAATCTACACAAAGATTAAATGTGTAATTTGTGACTCGTTCACCTGTTTTCAGACCGACGTTTTTCTCTACTCCTACAGAGTTCATGCAGGTTCCACCAACTCAAATGTAAGACTTTTTAAGACCATTATGAATGAAATTTAAGACCTCTATCATGACAGAAATGGAAAGAAGAAAAACACATATATTGCTATGTTCTCTACAGCTTCAACCTCTGTATTGCCGTAATTCCTAAACGTGCTAGCTAGCTAGTAATAGTACATTAGCACCCAGCAGTAGCCTCAACAGCCTTGAGTCACAGAACAATTCAGACAAGGGTGGAACTCAAACCTTTGTTTGACAGAAAAATCTTCGGAGAAAAAAAGTAATTTAAGAGATACGTGTTCTGACACTGTTCTTTAAAATAATAAAGTAAAGTCAAACCTGAAGTTCACTAAAATCAATAGATAACATTGTTCACTGTCACAACAAACTGCTCTGCCCTACTTCTTTTTTCTCTGCCAACCTTTGCACAAACATCATATGAACACTTCCTGTTTTGCACAGCAGGTTTAAAGTACCGTTTTGCAAAAGAAGTGTTTCTTTTTTTTTCTTCGTTCCTTTCTGCACCTGATCTGAACCAAATCACAAGATGATGAGTTGTGCGTGGTGGAAAGCAGAGTGCTTTCAGTGGTAACCTCAGAATACCTGCAGGAAGTGCTGTTGCTCATGCTAGCCTCCAGGCCTGTGCTGGTTTCCGCCAACAGATCAGATAACGGGAAGTTCTCTGCAGACCACAAATCCAAAGCGTTCATCAACAGTCATGTCGTATTTAACACTTTTAGGTATTTTTGCTGAACCCTGAACAGTTTTATCCAAAAATTTGTATGGCCACATGAAACACTTAGAAGTTGTGTGTGCATACCGATATCATCAAAGCGCTCCACCCAGACCACAAACACTTTGGTCTCAGGGCCCAGCTGGGGGTAAGACTTTCCAGTCAATGACCTCTTTGTCTTCTCCAAAGGACTCAGCTGCAACAGAAATACAACTTTGTAAGTTTAGGCAATGAGTACACTAAAAAAAAAAAAAAAAAAAACTAAATTATATTCTGTGACATTGTCATAGAGGTTCTGTTTAGTCAGACAAAATGCAAAGCTACCTTTTTAGCAGACTCAAGGCTCTCAGTGTGGTTGGGGAACAGTTCCAGTGTGAGATTAGATTGCTTTCCAGGTATGAGGTCGGTGTTGGTGTCTGCCTCCACTGTGGAGTCACTGTGCACAGATGACTCTTCTGGAACATTAAAACCCAGGCAAGTTGAACAACCTTGGTTTTTCATTACTTCACATGTAATGGTCTTGGTTCCTAATCATTTTTAAATTGTGATTTTGAACCTTTCCAGCCTTCATCTTAAAAAATTTATGAACCTTTGAGTAGAAAAAAACCCCTAAACTTTTCTTTTGTCTCTCTCCCACAAACCACAACGCAGTGTGACAAAATACTATTTTATTATTTTAGTTTTTAGGCAAACATCAGCCAAAATAGAAAACACTTCCACACAATGCAAAAAAGAAAAAAAATCTAACTAAGTATTTTTGTTCAATTTGTAGTTCAAACATTTCAATACGATTAAGATAAGATTACCTTTACTTCAAAGATCTTCTTAATGTTTCTGGAAATATAATGCAGCAGGATAAATATGCTTGTTTTAAGTCAGAAAGTCTTGACAATAAATTTAAAAATCATCATTTATGTTCCTTCAAGACCTCCTGAATTAGTCACTGATGCACTTTTGGAGAGGAGTACCGTATTTTCATGACTATAAGGCGCACATGAAAGTCTTAGATTTTCTTCAAAAATTGTGGCGCGCTTTATAGTGCAGTGCGCCCTGTGTGTGGTGTTGTTGTAAGGCGGACGTAGTAGAGAACACCATAAGATCGTTTAAGGAGGGTGTTGATTGTATATAAAAGAACGTGTGTGTGCGTTATGCAGAACATTGTTGTTTTAACAACCCTGAAAATGGCAAAGAGACACGCTTATGAAGCACAGTTTAAAGAGAAGCCCATCAGCTACACGGAGGAACATGGAAATTGAGCAGCCACGAGAGAATTTAAGATTAATGAATTGATGGTTCGCAAGTGGAGGAAGCTGGAAAACGAGCTCCGACAGGTCAAGACGACGCAGCTGAGATTCCACGGACATAAGGCGAGGTGGCCCGAGTTGGAGTAAAGACTCGAGCAGTGGATCATCGAGCAAAGAACGAGTGGGAGAAGCATTTCGACAGTCACCATTCGACTAAAAGCAGTAACGCTAGCAGAAGAAATTAAAATTTAACATTTCCAAGGTGCTCTAGGGTTAGGTTTAATGCTTTCGTTAGTGCCATTTTTCCATCCAAACCAGGACTACGGTAGCGTAGCAACTTCCAGCGGATTATAATGAAAAGCTGATCATCTTCCACTCCTACTACAGCAAACACATCGCCGACAAACACACCCAATTCAGCCACATCACTAACATTGGCTAGGTGCTGCTCACTTTCGACATCAGGGTCGCTGCTCACTTTCGACTGTGGAGAAACTCAATTTTGCTCCCACTCTATTTTTAAATACGCACACTTGCATGCCTGTGTCTGTGTTGTTATTGTAAGGCGGATGTAGTAGAGGACACCATAAGAACAATAAAGAGGGAAGTGTGGGCGTGGATTGTATATAAAACTAAAATCAGGTGGGCCTTATGTGTGTGTTAAATATGGTAATGGCACACATAACTGACACTGCGCCTTTTAGTACGGTGCGTGTTATGGTCGTGAAAATATAGTAGTAAGTAAGTCATCAGGTGCAGGCGTAAGTTAACTTTTTTCACTTATATTGAGATATTTTTTCAGCTTTAATTAAATAATTTGCCAGTGAAACTACTACTCTTTTTTTATCCATTTTCAAGAATTGTTCATTTAAAACAGGCCTATTTATGTTGCTGAAAACTTTTAAGTTTGTTTTGTTTTATTTTAAGTGTATTAACATATTTGAACTAGAAACTAGACAAAAGTACAAGTTAAAAATGTGGGTTTTTGCAATGCAGTCACAGAATAAAAATCACAATTCCAGATTGAATGCAGATCTTTTTCAATGTGTTTTACAAAATTCCAGAAAACAGAAATTTCTGTGGATTGTTTGGCATTTGAATCAAACTTAGATCTAATTTAAAATGCTCAAATGAAGAGATCTGGAGGACAAATTGCCATTTTTAGTCTGTCAATGAGTGTATATTGTTCACTCAGTAATTCAAAAATCTAAATGTTCAATGATTTGTATCATTGAACATCGATTGAACAATCACAGGAAATTGCAGTTGTGATGTGACAATCTAATCATAAAGATAATTCTCTAAAAAATAAATCTATTTTTTAGGAATGAGCAGATCTGATCTCAGACAATGAAATTGTAAAGTTCTCAAAGTAAATTAAATTTTTTCATACCTACATTAACTTGCAAAGTGATTTAATCACAAACCTGAATTTTCTGTTAAAGAGGGAACAACAAAGGCGATCTCCGTGAGAGCATCAGCGTAGTACAAAACTTTCTTCTCTCCATTGAAAACAGAACCTCCCGTGTCCTCGGGGCTCGCTCCTTCCTCTGACGAAAACCAAAACAAAAAAAATTTGGTGAAGATAACAGCTTCAGTTGCTGCATTTGGAACTGGTCGTAAGCTAACCTGTCTGGAGATCAGTGCTGTCAAAGCAGGAGTTCAGGGACCAGCTGGTATCCAGATGGCCCGTCCACCCTGGATGGTGGCCCACATCCACAGGCCAGCCCAGAGACAACAAGAACTCTAGGAAGTGGGGCTGGACAGTAGCTGACGACTCCACGTTCCTCAAAATCTGAGCACCAAGGAGATGTACATTAGTATACCAGAAAATCATTTTGCAAACAGAGTGAAAAATGGCAACGGTGTTCTGATTAAACAGAAAAATCTGTCTGCCCAACTAGACAGATTCAATTTCTTGAAAATTCAAGAAATTGAATTTTCACTGTCATATATGATCAGTGAAGAGTTAAACTCCCTTTTCAAGTGTAGATTATTTGTGTTTCATATTTTCAGCAACAAGGCTGGGCGACATGGACGTAAAGTTCTAACACTGATATTGATAAACACACACATTTATAAAGAAGTGTGATTTATTTCACTAACACACTCATTATGTGCATTCAATCATATTAACTGGTATTTAACGAGTGGAAAGAGAAAATAATAAAACTAACCAACAATATGATCAGTTTTGGGAATTTTAAACGTCCCAAAACTAGAATTTATTTTGACAACAGTAAATCAAACTGCTTACGATAAGAATTTGATCACGTTAAATAATACAATAAACAAAGACCTTAACATCATTAAAACATAATACAGTCAACAATCATAAACCAAGCAACAAAAATTACAATTTGTCAAATGCCATCAACAAAATTATCAAACGAGTATTCATCAAATAAATTCACTAAAGTTCCAGTCATGAGGAATCAAAGCCAGATCTGATCAGGTGGGTTTTTAGTCACTCTGTGTTTCTGGAGTATTGCAGTTTTCTGGAAGTTTATTTTCAACTAAAGTCAAAACCTATTTCGACAATTTCAAAGTACACATCTTCAAGGTGCCAGTAAAATACCTGCAGAGTCAGGAAGTCTGTTTCTTACCTCAGTGCTGCTTTTCTGTCCCGCCCTCACATAGAAAATAAAGACAGTGTCAAACGGTCGGCAGGGAAGCAGATCCAGATAGCTGATGTCATCAAAAAACCCTGGCAAGGATGAGTCCAGGCCGATCAGATGAGGAGGTAGACGGCTGTTGTTGGGTTCCTGAAAGAAGTGACATGAAAGCATACAGCTAACCTGGTCGAGTAACGGCAGAGTGTACAAAAGAGGGAGGGGAAACGTGTTTGTATGGACCTTTAACGCTTCCAGAGACAGAAAACCGAAGTGAGAGAGGAAGAGGCGTGCTGTCTGGAACTCCTGTGAGGGCGGAGGAGGTTTGCACTCCGTCTGAGGGTCTGGGAAGGACTTGGACTTTAGAAGTTCCTCGCTGCGCCGCTCCAAAGTGTTCTCATAATCAATCTGCTTGGCCATCAGACTACGAAGCTTACTGTGCTGAATTTCCAACTGGAAATGAGAAGATGTGGTAAAACAAATAAACAAAAAAAACAAAACAAAAAAAACAGGAGCTGAACAACTGGCAACTGATTGGATGGATTCATGGTTAAACTTTCACCGTAAGACTCCCACAACCAGGACAAGAACCTCATCCTCAGGTTAATATGCATGAAAACCTTCATCATTTATATCACAGTACAATGAATAGAATAAGTGGCACAGAAATCCAGTAAAATGAATCTTCATCCAGGTCTTGTGAAGCTTTCTCTATTGACATCGTCTCAAAATGGTAACATGTCAACTGATTATGGACTTGCAGAAAGCTAAAGAAGAACTGGGATACCATAGAAACCAGTTACACCAACCCAACTATCTTTACCCGCTTGTTTTTCACCAAAATAAATTTTGTTTCTCTTCAACAACTTACGTATTTACAGATCAGTGAACTTGCGACTGCTGAATCATCCTCATAGCCCAAACAACCCACCTGATTTTGTACAGTAACAAAAATCAAGAATCAGCTTCATGCTAGTTTTCAGCCAGAGTTATCCTTCAGATCTACAGAGTTTGCATGAAACTGTAAACAGGAAGCAATCCAAATAATGTACCTCCTTACTGACAATGTCATCAAGGTCTGGAATGCTGACATCGGCTTTGACCAGAGGGATCTTATCCACCTCCTCTGGAAAGGGCCTCTGCTTTATGTTGTACTTGATGCCCACATCGTCGTTTGGCATCGGGCGGCTCTCAGGAACAAACATCTGCCATTGGAGAAGAAATGTGGAAAGATTCAGACTGGAGTTGTTGGCGTTACTATGGACACCGATGTTTGACAGTCATTTCTGATGAGATCTAACCCTTTGATTGGCACGAGCCCCTCTTGGCTGATGGAAGAGCTGCATCGTCCAGGCGTGTCGTCCTGCTGTTCCTCGGATCAAAACGGTCACAGACGGACTGGGGTCTACAGGGATAGAAATGATTTAGTAGGTTAATAAAATAAAACAGGTTTGTCACTTGAGGAGAACCCCATTCAAATTCTTAGCTAGTTCTCTACAGGAAACCCTGTTTACTGATATCAATATTAATATCAATATCTGATAAATACAACTGTAATGGTCAATAATTAGAATCAGATTTCACTACAGTTTCAACACCTCCATTTGACTAGCTTAGAGAAGGTAGTTTTACTAAACAAAAAAAGAAATTGAATTTTTGAGTTTTCATCTTGCCATAAAACAATCAGGGATGATCTAAATGAAACTTTTCATTCTCGGTGAGTCTCTAATATTTTAATCTCAGCGATAATGTTTTAAAATAAAAGCAGGTCGAATCATTTGTAATAATAACACGACAGGGGATGATGCTGCGACACTGACTCTGCTCATTGCCGAGAGGTTGCTCCAGCATGGCAAGGATCACAGAGTTGTCCAGGACGAAGTAGCGGAAGTTAGTGGCTCCTGTGGCACTCAGTCTGGCGTAGCGTATCAGTGTGTCTTCGTTTAGCAGGCTGCAGGTGGATGCAGGTCCACTGGGAGAAGGGAAAGCCCCCAACACCTGCATGATGCTGGTGTTGGGGGATTAAGACAAAAAAACTGATTAAATAAAAAATAAAAAATTTTATCATCCTTTTTTAAGCCTATTACAATGTCAACCTGATGAGTTGTTCTATGCTCTGTTCTTTACAACATTTCTGAAATGACAGTTATGATACACATAAAATCTATCACAATCAGCTGAAAAGTTAGCCTAGAAAGAGACAACAGCAATGCATCATTTCATTTCCAGGGTAGGGTTGGCAGGCCTGTAGAGCGTTTAAAAACAGCACAAACACTGAACATCTCACCATGATAACGTGGCCTCAGCGGCATCCTTCACCCTCATTGAAGCTGGATTGTGCTCCTTCTCCACTTTGTGACGCACTTCCTGTTCATGGCGAGACTTGCTCCCAGAGATTCCCAGTTCCACGATCTCCAACACTTCCATCAAACAATCCTGGCGGATAAACAGAAATGCGTTTGAGTCCAAGAAACTTTCAGTACCAACTGTCTAGACTGAGCAAAGATGAAAACTTTTTTCATGGGTCTTTAAATGCACCTTCTCATCCAACATGCCGGGGTGCTCTGTGAGCCACACACAGAGAAACTGGAAGGCAGCTACAATCATGGAGTGCAGGTCTCTGGACTGCAGAGGGGCCGGCCGGCTGCACTGGTACACAATGTAGCCGCAGATGGAGCTGACGGCACGTTTACGCTCCGAAGAGTCAACTCCCACCTTCACCTGATGAAGACACAGAGTCAGGAAGCAGCCCAGTAATGACACTGACTATAGACTGTGGGGATGAGGTACAGCTTGATTTTGCATTATACAATTGTTATTTTTAGTTTTCTCCAAAAAACTCCCAGTCTTTAAATTCAATACACTCCAATATTTCAGGACTCACAATGCCTTAGACACTAACAAGGCTACGATTGGTCTTCAGCAGAGAAAACATTCCTATACTTAATCGTTACCATGAGGTACTTTCCCACTCTTCAATCTTTTATTTCGGATCCGACCTCTTGGTCTCATTATTTGTTGCCAAAAAGCAAAGCAGTTGTAGTTTCACACATCGCACCATTTTTATGTTTGTGATAGTGGAAAATGCCATTGTCCTGCAGGCCTCTAAATCAACTGGTTAGGCTGGAAATACTGTCCAATAGTCGTTTTTAAATACACATGCATAGCTCTGCAGAGGAACCATCAAAGCCCTCAGTGAAAGTTCTCACACAGAGGTGTGAACAAAAGTTCATCTGCTACTGAAGCAGAGAGACTGACCAGCAGTAACATGTATTAAAAGCTTGTGCTTACCTTGGCCAGTCCTGCCAGCAGCTCCAGCGCAGCCAGAGAAATGCTCATGTCTTGTCTCCATTGAGAATTGAGCCTCTGTGTGACCAGGTGGATGCTGCGCACCAGCAGGCCTGCAGCCGTATCTGGAAGAGCTAGACCATAAAACACCCCGAAAAACCAAACACCGCGAAACAGAAACAATAAAGGATTAAAGCCATACCGCCACAAGGTCCGACAGGAGAAACACTCAGGGCCCATTTAGCAAAAAGAAAAACATCATGCAACATCTCAATACTGCATAGCATTCGTTACAAGAAAATACACACAAAAAGAGACAGGGATGAGCTATGGGAGCAGATTTGTTATTGGTTAATGTAAAATAAGTTAGTTAATATCTAAAACATTTACAAATACACCTGCTAGATTCATCTAGCCAGTAAAATTTTCCACTCAGCTATGTGAGAGAAAGGTAATCTGTAAATAACCTTTAATGAAATTGGATTAATTAATTTTTTATTAATTGGATTGATCGTACTGGATCGATTATTGAAATAATTGTCAATTAATTTAGTTTTGTTAAAGAACATAGAACAGAAATTAAGCCAAAAAAATACATATGTACATTTTGCACACAACATTAAAAAAATAAAACCTTTGCAAAAATCTCAAGTGGCAAAGTTTTAACTTCATCTGGTTCAAATTTATAAAAGAAATCCATCAGGCACCTTTTGCTACACAAATATTAAGTGGTTACTCCAAAAAATAGCCAAAAGACCCATCCTACACTGTATTTGTGGTGAGTTGAGCAGAAGGGGCCAAGCTTTTTATAAGTTAGAATTATGTGTTAGCTGCAGATGCATTGTTTGCTACAAATGATCAACAATACACTAAGGAAATGCTGTTTTTGTAACTTAGACAACAAAATTTTCATTTTCTAATTTCAGAAAAGAAACTACTGGTTTATTTGTGTTTTGTTATGTATTTCTAGTATTGTACATAATAAAATTAATTGGTTAAATGAAAAATCTGAAGATGGTGAAAACTTTTTAATCCACTTAATTGATTAATCGTCAGAATAATCGATTACTAAAATAATCGTTAGTTATGGCCCAAATTTCAGGGAGACAAATTTTTTTTTTAAATAAACTGAATTAGTTTTTTTTTCATGTATTTCTAATATTGCATAAAATAAGCTTAGTTGGTTAACAGAAGAATTGATCACTAAGATAATCGTTAGTTGCAGTCCTACTTTTAATCAGACCAGATTATTCCAAGCAGTCATTTAGAAAAAAAAAATCTCAAATCTGTTGGATCACAGCAAACAAATGAATCACCTATAGACATATAAAGACATTTTACCCAGCGCTTCTAAACTCTGCACACCACCTTAACCACGTTAGCTACAAACAACAGGTATGTTAGTTCGGTGTTGCTGTGAGCCTCAGTGACCATTATTAATGAAGAGCAGCATCAGTGTGTTAGCTGGCTGATCAGTGGTGTGGCTGCATGTCTCACCATAGTCTCGGAGCAGCGCCTGTGCCGGACGCTCACAGTCTGGGCTGGTGGCCTCCGTGCTTCCGCCGCTGTTAAAGCTGATGCCACTGTTGGTGCGACTGTGACTCTGACTTCTCAGCATCACATGGCTTCCATCTATGCTGCCCTGAAAAACGGAGCACGGTGGCCATCTTGACGAATGCAGGAGACCAGTTGTTGAAGAGAAAAAGAAAGGGTAGCATCTGAGCCTTACCGTTTCGGTCTGGGTTCCTATGGCCTCTAGCAGCGCAGAGTCTTGGACGATGTTTAGCATCGCACCTGAGAAGGATGGAAAAATAATAATCAACACACAAATAAAAATGTCAACAAGAGATAATTGTGTAGGTTAGCCATGTACATAGAAATAGAAAGGAGGTGATACCGAGGATTAGTTGGGTGTTGGTGGGATCAGTCTCGGTCTGCAGAGCTCCAATGAGGACGTTAACAAGACGCAGCCTCAGAGACAGGAAGGAGATGGGCTGGTCATGAGGCCAGCCGTCCTCCTCGTTGAACTTTCCCTCCAACAGAACCTAAAGGACACGAAACAGCATTAGATACCTTATTTGCACATGTTGAAGAGCCATTGAAGAGCTTGTATGAAAATTAGAGCTGAAATTATTAATTATTATGAATTCATTACTGAAATAATCTTCAACTAATTGAGTAATTGTTAACCTGGGTATTGAGATTCAAATAAGGCCAACTGCTGAAAAAGTGTGTTTAATGCAGTAATTAAGTCAAAATTGTACAAAAAATAATATACATTTCCAATGACTAAAAAAAGCTGTGCCAGAGAGAGCAGAGGTCAGAGTGTGGAGAGTTTACCTCAGATTTTATGTTGCCAAAGTGATGTGGCAGAGGCAGCATGGCAAGAAGGATATTAATGGAAGCTCTCCTCAAGTCTGTAGGATTTACATACAGTTTGAATTTTGACAGCTCCCTAAAAAAAACAAAAAACAAAACAAGAAAAAAAAAAAAAAAAAAAAAAAACAGGATGATGATATAAAAAATCCCATAGCAACGTTTAGAGTAAGATCAAAGGTAGATACAAACAGCAAATATTTTCTGGTGTAGAGTCTGACCTGTCTGGTACAATAGTTTCCAGAGCAGCAATGAAATAGGGCACCACCACATTGATGCCCTTCAGGTCAGTACAGAAAAGAGACGAAGAGTTGAGGATGATAGAAGCCAGAACGGGTCTACAAATAAAATCAGAAATCTGGAGACCCTGAATCAGAACCATGTAGAACCTGAAGAAAGAAGTGAAGAACAGCAGAATATCCTCCATTATGGGGGTGGAATCAATATCCAAATGTATGTAAAGATTTTAGGACATCTGAAAGAAATTAAATATGTCTTAGATTAAAATCAATAACATATGACGTTGTCAGAAGCATTAACTAGATAGGAGGCATCTTAGATTAAATGCCTCATTTCTAAGGTTTAGTTTCTAATCTTAGGTCTTTTTTTGTCTTGGCAAAAACTGAAAAATAGCAGTTTTAGTGATTTATTTACCACCACATTCTGACCCAATTCAACCAGAGTGTTAAGTAGACCAGGATGCAAAAAGAGAAGTGAGGCAGCACTCTTATAATTTAGTCCATAAACCAAAACTTTGTTTAATTTTTTGAGATAAGATATGATGTGGCTACATTTATTAAACGTCAATTGATTTTTTTTGGTTGTTCTTTAGGGAGAAGGATAAAACACAGAAATCCTCATATTTCTTTACCACACTAAAAAAATTTAATTATGAGAATAAAGTCACAATATCACAGGAATAAAGAATGAACTCATTGTATGACAAAAACAGTATATGACAATAAAGTATAAATACTACAAGAATAAATGTTACCAGAATAAAGTTGTAATATTAGAAGAATAACGTTGTAATTTGATAATACTTGCACAAAACAAAATTTTACTTAAAACAGTAATTTTATGATGTTCTTTTGAAAATATGTTCTTGTATTTTAAATAAAATCTCCTTATCTGGCCCAAACATTCCATCAAATCACACTTATACAAACCAAACTAAAATCCTCCATAATCTTTCAAACTTGAATAGACTGTATATGAACACAGCACACATTCAGGCTGAGGCGTTTCCTCACCTAGACAGGTAAACAGGAAGAATATCCTCTCCGGTTTTTTTGCTACAAAAGATGCGGCACAGCGTCCCGCAGGCCTCGGCTCGTCCTGCCTCGTAGCTCTCGGGGAACTCGTTGATGTCGAACAGTGGGTTGGGCACCATGGAGTCTGTGGACATCTGGGAACCCTTCCTCCTCAGCTCCAAGCCCATCTGAGTGGCTATCGCTGCGGCGAGCAGAAGGACAAGGAATGAGAGGACCAGGGCAAAGTGCTCATTCTTAAAAGCATGCAGCTATTAGAGACAGGCAAACACAAACAGATCTACTAAAGGTGAATGGAAAAAGCCATCCGTAGAAATCCAACACATCAAAGCAAATAAAAAGAAAACATTTAATGAGATAAGAGAAGGAAAACCAGACTTTACTGACTCCAAACAGACACTCCTCTTTGAAAGCATTCAAAAAGGAAAACCTGACACAAAGAGTTTGCCATACAAGCTGCACCTCTGTATGTTACATGTACTGTAAGTCATGCTAAACTAAAGTGGCAAAGCAAAATCCCTGTGTCAGCTTTTTGTGATGTCGCAGTTAACATGGCGGACACCTGAAGTACAGATCATCCACTTCATGCACAAAGGCATCAAGCCAATAAAAAAAAAAAAATTAAAAAAATCACAACTCAAACTGAACACATTTAAAACAAACATTACACAAACTAAAACATTAATGCAGAAATAGAGGGAGGATCTGAAACGCAATAATAGTTTAGCATGACTCAAACAAAGAGAAAAAAAATGAAATGGGGAAATGGTGTCAACAAACTGGCAACATTATGGTTGAGAGAAATGGTCAGTAGGTGAAATCTCTTTAATCACCTTTGGAAAAGTGCTGAATGAAAGCTGGTGGTCTTATATATATATATATATATATATATATATATATATATATATATATATATATATATATATATATATATATATATATATATATATATATATATATGACAAGGAGTAGGGAGCATATAACCATGGTGGTAATGACAATGGTCATGAAAAATTCAACTGAAAAGCAGAAAGATTTGTCAAGAAACGCAAATTAAGTGAGAAAAAGAAGCTGCCGTTCCTACTTACAAGATTTATAAGAAAGGAGAATTTGGATAAAAGAGGCTGCAAGATAACAGAAATAGTGAAGAGACACAAAAATCAAAGCAGAGCCAAAATTTTGGGATCAATTCATTGTATTTTTTAGTTATTGTGTTTGACACATGACTTTTGACCCACTCAAAGTATTGGACGGTATTTCAGACATGGTAGACACGTAGGACATTACACCAAAATGAAGCGATAAGGAAAACCAATGATGAGCCAAATTACTTAGTAAAATTAAAAGCAATAACTGCTTTTGAGGATTTTTAACAGAGAACGTCGCTGTAAACCAAATCCGTAGAATATAGTTGTAGCATTAGCCAGGTTTAGATTAGCTGTCTGATGCAAAATGGATCAGGCTGAGATAGAAATCTCATCTGTGGCCGCTTCTAACCAAGCCCTCCACACACAGAAACAACAAAGATTCAGAGAAAGAAAGAAAGAAAACAAACCCCAACAACTCACAATAAAAACAGAACACCACCACAACAGAAAAAAATCAATGCACTAATGAACAGCAACATAACTCGCAGACTGGTACCATGCAATCAGCTGACAGTGACGCGGCCCGCCGGCTCCCTGCTTACCGGTCATGCTGGGGTCCCGGCTCATGCCACTGTGCAGCTTGCAGTGAACAAGAGCAGCGTCGAAAAGCCACTGGCCAAACAGGTTGAGGATGCTGTTGACCTTTGGCCTCGCAGGGGCCGGTAGGGGCCGGGCCTCCCAGCTGCTCTGGTTGGGGCTGGACAGCAGAGTGGGAGAGGATGACGGCTGCTGCTGCTGGGACACTTTGAATGGCTGACTGCTGCTGCTCTGCAAGGGGCAGAACGCACAGAAGGACGTCTCATTCATTTTTAAAACATACAATTCTCTAGATTAAAGCAACAAGCAGGACACACATAGTCTTATTAATACAACAGTGTATTAGGGTCATTGTCAATAAAAAAAGAAAGGAAAGTTAATTTATTCTCAAAAATTCCAGACAAAAGTTAACTTCAACTTTTCATCTTTAAGATCACACGTAAAAACTTCAGAGATTGTGATTTTGTATATGGACAAGGAGTCTTTCTACTGTGAAGATGAAGTAAAATTAGATCCAAGACTGAAATCTGGAGTGAATTTCTGTTCATCCACTCATTTAATATTCAGCAAGCACATATCTAGGAGACTAACGTTTTAGAAGAACCATTGCTCCACCATTCTAGCATCTTTATAAAACCCTCTGAGCAATGTACCAACTCCAACACACACCAAATAAAGAGAATATTGCAGACTGTTTGATTGAATAAATCTTATCTGAAGAGTTTTTGTTTCTTAACTTTCATGTCAAATTAAGATGTATTATATTAATCCCAACAAATTATCACAAATATATTCTTTTTGAGGATCTATAATCTGTTAATTTTGTAAAACAGAACTGAAATGAATAAATCACAGGGCCGCAGGTTTACAGAGCTCGCTGATGTGTAATCTTTTTGGTTAATCTGTGATTTTTTCCTCAGCTGTTTCACTTTATTGTACAAAGAAATTGGACTTCATCTGTTCCAAAATGAAAAGCTCCTAAGAATAAAATTTAGATTATTAAAAGATGAATAGTACTCATACAGTTTAATGTCAGAAATCAGAGACACAAGGGATCACAAACTTTAAAGATAGCCACTGCTTATTGCTTCACACTTTTACCTTTTAAGCAGTCAGGTTTTGACCTTGAACTTTCAGGATCTCCATTATAAACCTTTCTATTGAAACTCTGGCTCAATGTTTATGGTTATATCCCGCACAAATATTGAATTTAATGGAACCTTTAACAACTTTTTTCCAGGACAGTTTTTTATAATTCAAAATTATTTACACATCGAGTAACTTCAGAATTAGATGGCTATTTCAGAGAGAAAAAGAATTTCATAATTTTTTTGTTATTTAAATCTAGTTTTATTCATATTTGTACAAAGTTAGTCTGCTATGAGTGACTTATTTTGCTGACCAGGTTTTTGATGAAGTGTGTTTGTTCATGCATTCCTTTCTAACATTTAGCTCCCTTTACAGTTTCTCCTTCAGATTCAAGTAGAAACTCAAAAACATTAATACTACTTCAAATCAGAGGAAACGTGTTCTAAAAATGAAATTAAATTATTCACAACCAACTCTGCAAAGGGTATGAATAATTTGGGGCTTAACAGAAGCTTTATCCATCATCCTATCAAGCTTGCCCTCTGAATCCTTTAAAATACAAACTTGTATACAGATAAATGATAAAAACAACTTTATGGTACTTGAACTAAAACAGTTGTAAGACACCAACAGCCACATGCTAATTAAAACATGCAAGACATGCTCTCATATGAAACTCCAAACCTTGATTTCTACACTGTAACCAAAAAGTGTTGCAGTTTCTCCAACAAACTTGAACCAAATAATCAGCTCGTCATGAGGCCTCCTCTAGTTAGAATTTAGATTGGATCTACAAAAACACACCTAATCTGACCCGGCCCAATCCTGAACAGGCTAATTAACTTTATTCATAGCCTAAAGCAACCCAACATATTTTACTTGTGATTCTACCGCCTCCATTTTTAGACTATTTGACTAAGCAATGCATCTTCTCCTGTTTCTAGCTTTTGTCTAGAATCTTCCAGTCTCCTGTTGTAATGGCAGAGTGAGAAAAGGTCAAATAATTTGGGACTCCCCTAGAGTAACCCAACTATACGTTAGGGCCATATGTAACAGTCAGACTTACAGTTGAGCTCTTGCTGGTGGTTTTCGTGACCACTGCATGCCGCTGTTTGCGGCTGTGTGGGGGTGTAGTGTTGGCGATGGAAGGGGGCGGAGACATACTCAATCTGTTCACTGGGGTGGGCGGGGCACTGTCCGCCCGCGGTCGTGATATACCTGTAAATAAAAAGGCAGCGTCACCATGGAGGCAAAATTTGTTCACTCTCTAATCAGCATCCAGGCAAATGATGAGAAAAGAGAAAATGATTTGGGGTAAAAGATTTAATCAAAGCCCATTTTCATTGGTAGACATGCGTTAGAAGGATTAGATGAGAATCACCAAGATTGGAAATGCACTGATAATGATTAGCACTTTGAGACCGTAGTAGTCCCCTCTTGATGATCTGGTAGTTTAGTCCATCTGCGAGTTACCGTTTGCTTAGCAGTAAAACCTACAGTTCTTAAAGTTCCAGTGTGCAACTTTATGGCCAATCTGGGTGCAAAAATGTAATATATATTCTAGAAATGAACATGAAGGTCAATATTTTGCTTTAAAATAAAATAATCAAATCACTCTCTTTTGTACTAGAACAGCCAAGAAAGCTCTAAGTTCCAGAGCAACTATAATTCATTTTGTTGATCATTTTATTCATTTATTTTTATTGCTACATCCGACACACTGGACCTTTAACACGATCATCGCAAAAAACAAACCACATGTCCATCATGTCTCGTTAAATGATGCGTCAGCTGATGAGTGTACCATGAGAGAGCGGCAGGGGACAAAAAGAGAACGCCCTCTCGCGTACATCTCTCTTTTCAACAGAGACACCTACAGTGTGAAGAGAAAAGTACATGCTGACATGTTTCTCCTGAAATGTGGCTGACATTGTTTAGAACCCTCCATCTTCAGTTCACTGAGATGTTGTGACAAAATCAGAAAAAGGAAGGGGCAAAAAAATGCAATGCTCAGATTTACTTTCATGATCAAAATAAAGTCAATGTTTTGATCTGTTTGTTGTTTCCATGCTTAGTTTTCTACAAAACTACTTGTTCGGTGTAACGTAGTGTTTGCTGTTCTGTTCAATATAACTTTGAATTTTAAAACAGCTTGGTATGAAAGAAATTAAATTTTTCAAAGTGGTTTAAAGACCATTATGCTTTTGGGGAAAAAAATGGCAAGTTACCACTGCTGGGCAAACATTCTGCTTCTCAACTAAAGACTTGCTTCACCTCTTCACATTCTCTCTTTTTCCCCAATAATTTTATTTCAAACAAGAAACAAAATAAAAGACAGTGAAGAACTGAATGTCATAAATATAATGCCTAAGGTTATTAGTTTAGAGGAACTAACTTTCATGTCAATTTTTATGTCAAATTAAATTGGTGCTTGAGGGGTTACAGTTTTTCAAGGGCAGATATAAGTTAATTTAAACTTTTAGCATTAGCTTCTACTAAATAGTGTGTTGGTGTATTGCTTCAGCGTTAGCAGAACATGTGTTTATGATTTGTGCTTTAGGGTTGGAACAACTGACTCTTCAGTTAACACTGCAAACTACTGCAAGTTACTATGGTAACATCTCACCGATTTTTCTTCTGTTTATTTTGATAATGCTGTCCCTTATCCATTGCTACTAGTGTCAACATAATGAGGGTTTACTAAAATTACTAATGTAAGTTTCTAGTGCAATATGATTTGTGAGAATCTGTGTGTAATGACAGCCACATCTTACACTAATAAAGAATGAGTCAAACATTTCCACTGTTAAGAACTGTATTCCCTTATAGCGTTTAGCTGACATTTTTTTGGCCTTTGTTGATGTCAGGTCTGCTTCAATGTGAGCCATTTGTCTTGCCTAGGACAAATTATCTTACCTAGGAATGCATCCACGAGGCAGCTGATGCCCCTCATAGCCCTGAAGAAGATCTGGGGTAGCTGTTTCAAACACGGGTGCAGAACTACTTCATGAGGAATCCCACTGGAGATCAAAAACTGCTCTTGAAACTTTGGAGTGGTGCTCACTATGGCCGGATTGCTCAAATCCACCGGGTTGCTGGAAACAAACAAGATGTGAAGCATACTCAAGATTAGGTACACAGTTTATCGAGCCCAATTAAAAAAGAAAGAAAAGAAAAGAAAAACACAACTGAACATGTAACAAGTGAGACAATGACTGTATGAGGAGGAAAGAATCAGCAGGCAGGAGTACAGTTGGATTCACTCAGAGCTAAAAGGTTAAATTATTCCTATAGTTGCAGTTGAAACATTTTTAGAGGAACTAACTTTCACTTCCCCTTAAAAACAGACTAACATCCAGATCAGGAAGAGCTGTCATTTTTCTAGATGAATGAAAATAAACAGAAGAAGTCAAATGCACCCGATCATGTGGAGAAAGCGATACCACGTCTGTGCCACACAGTCGTTGTCCATCTCTACAGGAATCAAGTTGGCATCTTCATCTGGAACTTTAAAAGGTGGGAAGGACGGTCCGTGAGTAAAGCGCAGCAGCCTGGATTGTGAAATAAAAATATGTATTTTTTAACAGTAGATAAATAATAATAAACTACATAAACTCATTCTATTGCTTGCCTCTTAGTCCAGTGGTTCTCAAACTTTTTTCAGTGATGTACCCCCTTAAAAATATATTTTTAGTCAAGTACCCCCTGACACGGGCAAAAAACTTTTGGGAGAAAAAAAACAGTGCTGTAATATCACTGTCTGATTTATTAAAGCCGAACACCTTATATCAGTGAACCTGACAAATACATCCATATTGCAAACATTGCATGTAGAAACAGAACACAGTGACCACCAGGAAGGCATAAAACCAGTCAAAACTGAAATATGCAAAACACTGCTAATTTATATTGGTCTCTGTAATGGTACAAAATTAAATATATAGATGAATAACTAAAAAGTGTTCACAAAAACAAATCTATAACTTAATTACAAATAAATTATATTTTGTTTACAAAATAAATTAACTTTATAAATAAAGATTTGCTCACAAAAAAAAAAAAAACAATAAACGTTACCTCTTTTCGGATAAAAAAGAAGATTGCACTTTAATCACTTTGCATTGAACATTTGATTTGGTTTGAACAGTAAGTAACGGTGTCATTAGACAGAGTTTTTAATGTATCCGCTGATTTTTTTGTACAGCACAGTTTCAACAGCAGCGGGGAGCAGCAGGTCTTCCGCTATGGTGAACGGTTTTTTGGCTTTAGCAATGAGCAAAGACATTGCGTGTCTTTGCTCGTTGCTTTGGCTGATGTAGTGGAGGCTTTTCGCATTGTGGCTTGGGATGACTTGAACTCAGAAAGTTTTCTCCTGAAGAACTCCGGTGGCTTACCAACATGACATCCATGTTTTGTGGTGAGATGCCGCTGGAGGTGTGCCAGCTGCATGCTAGCGTTGGCTAATTTCTCCCCGCAAAAAAAAAACAACACAATGCCTGGGGGGGTCAGAGATCGTGGATGTAAATCCCATTAAAACATACTTTTTCATGTACGTTCTGTACTTCGTCGGCTCTGGTTTTGCCTTCTTTTTCACTTTATCTGAACTTTCAGCAGCATTGCTGCTACGCTTTAGCCACGTCTCCATAGTTACAGTGTCGTCATGGTAACAGTGCGCTGGGTCCGTTGGTCAAACTAATTTGGTGGGGGGGCGGGGGTGGGGTCCTTTTTATTTTAAAGGATATTGAAACTAAATACTGAATATGAAATTCAGTGCATGAACACACATTTATATTTTAACGACCTTTTTACAAAATAATTTTTCCCAAGACTTATTATGAGGAGCCCACAGATTTTTTAAAGATATTTTGAAAAGCTTCACGTACCCCCTGCAGTACCTCCACGTACCCCCAGGGGTACGCGTACCCCCATTTGAGAACCACTGTCTTAGTCCTACCTTGAAGTCAGAGCGCAAGTTACTCTGCTCCACTGCTCTACAACTGGAGGATGATGTCTCCAGTTGGACAGCATTTCCCTTGCGGTCTTCCAATATGGCGGCGTGGGAAAGCAGCGGGCACATGCAAGAAGCCACACCTCAAACAGAACTGCCATCAGTTTCTCTGCCAGTTTTTCTGCTACGCCCACTAAAAGGAAGAAGCAAAGCTCAGTTGCAGTTTGTGCTCACAAGGAACAAATGAATGAAGACGCTGGAGTGTGGCTTACCACCAACCGATGGAGGAGCAAGCAAGGTGTCGTTGATACGTAGCAGGAAGAGCAGCAGCACCTCCCACGTTTCCCTCACCATGGAGACAGACTCTCGTGCCAGCTTCTGGACCGCCGTCAGAACCTGCTGGCAGAGCCTGATGTGGTTCAGACTGTGCTGCTCAGGCCTGCAGACAGAAACACACAAATCAAGTTATTAGCAAGGAAGCACCGATCCACTTCTGATACCAATACCAGAGGTTTAGTATCGGCCGATACCGGTCCAATACAGAGAAACAAGTGAAGTGACTTAAATGAATGAATGTATTGAATTAGTAATTAATTTAATAACTCTGCACAAATACAACACATTGAAGCACACCAACAGCTTCACAAGATAACATGGAAAAACAACAACTGTTCAGTAGCTGCAATTAGGAGTGAAACAGCCAATGGAAAATAAATGATAGAGAAAATAAAACTGACTAAAACAATAGATTTACGATTTTAGTCAAACATGTAAAAATAAACTGCAACAAATCTTCAAATGGTTCTAAAAGACCAATTAAGAATTCTAAATATAAAGTGAAATAAATAATAAAGCATGACATCACACAGAGCATAGAGCGAGATCAATTAGATCAGCATTATGGTTTGGGTACAGTGTCACTGACATCCCATCTAGAATTGTTTTCAAAATCGGCACCAGGACAGACATAGATATCAGAACGGTGCATATCTAAATATTACCTCACCTATGAATGAGGTAATTAATAAACCTCAATAATCCAGGTAAAGACAGTTGTTACTGGGCAAAGATTAAATAATTACATTAAATGAGGGAAACAGAGGAAGGTGCTTACCTTGGGACAAATACATTGTAGAGATGTCGCAGGATGGTCTGGACGTACATATTGGGTTCCTTCACCACAGACTGGGGCATGGAGTCCCTGGGTGACACCAATGCCATCATCCAGTCTGTGTACACGTCTACACACAGCTTGACAGTGTCGCCCTCTAAGGGCAGGGTCAGGCCGTAACACAGCACCTCCATGGTCCACTTCACCTGGGAAACAGAGGACTTCCAGATGTCAGCCACATGGGGCTTTTCCAACTAGTCTTTAAAATACTTTTGTTAGTTTTTAAATCACTAAATCGCTGTGGCTTAGCACCACAATACATTAAACGTGTTTAGTCATACCACCATCAGACCAATCAGGCCTTCTGGTTCTGCTCTGCCTCAGAACCAGAACAAAAAAATAGAAAAGCAGCATTCAGCTTCTATGCACCCTAGTTCTGGAACAAACTTCCAAAAAACTGAAAAACAGCTGAAGCATCAAGTGCCTTTAAATCAAAATATATTTGATGTATAGTCGCTCAATGATTTTGATGGTGGCATTTGACTAAATTTGTTTGTTTCATAATTAGTTACTGTATTTTTATGGTTTAAAGGCTTGTTGCTCAGGTGTTCTTCACAAATCAACTTGACTCCAGATTTTGTTCTATTATTAGAAGATAGAACAAAGTCATTAGAAGACAGATCAAAATCTGTGCATTTCTCTGATTAATGCTTCTGACATAATAATAAAAGCCAATATGAGAAGTCAGAGTAAGAATCTATTTAAAGGGAAACTCTTTTCTACAAGGCAATGCAATTTGTTTATTAATCTGCTACAGAAGAGGCCTGACTTCAGAAGTATTGATTATTTTGCTCTTTTTGTCATTTCCTACATTGCATATTTTACTTGATTCATAGATGACTTTCTTGTAATGAAAGGAACTGACAGCTGGTACTAAAAAGGAAAAATTAATCTTGAAAACGTTCTCTTGATTTGAATTGCATATTTGAGAACCAGTTTCAAGATTCCCAAGATTAGCCCAAGTCAAAGATATCCTTCAGAAAAACAATGATAATGCAAGCAGTTTGAGAGGCATTTTATTTAAACAAACACTGACTCACAAACAGTTCCCTTCTGGCGATACAGAAGAGACATGCTACACATAGCATGACTCATATGAATAACTGCTAGGAAAGTATCTCTAAATTAAAGGCATGAGAGTCTGAGATGATTTGAGAAAATGGGAGTTTAAATGGTCTGTAAGATCACAAGAAAAACAATATCACCTCATTTTTTCTCCACACACTATTATCTCATCAATGACATGAAAAAAAAAAAAAAACTAACAAATTACAGCTTATTGTCCCAGAAGTTAATTGTACGCGCTCTAAACGAAGGGAACCAATGTAAAGGAAACTGTTAGACTGAAGATGAACAAACATCAGGATCAGAAGAAATTAGTTTGACATCCTTATTAAATTAGATTTTTCTTGCATCTCTGTATCTTTGTTGCTCCAACTGAATAAAAAAATACTGAAGTGCAACATAAAATAAAAACAATAACCTAAGGTATTTATGAAGCCTCAGAACAATCTTAGAAAACTGGACAGACTTTAAGATTAAAACTAGAGAAACAGATCAAGTCCTAATACTAACAATTATCTGATTTTAACTAAACTGAAAACAAAATGTATCAAAGACAATGCAGTTTGATCAGCATTGTTTTCCTTTCTTTTTTCTGCTTTTTGACCTACTGATTCCTTCCCAGAAATGAGCAAGGGAAAGTTTCTTGTTTGTCTGATCGATGCATCTCTAATTATAATAAAGTTATGACACAGACAGGCTGATGTAAGAAAACTATTTTTTTCAGTTTAGAAAGCAAAAAAGACTATCAGTATTTTTCTAATTTCACTTTAAGTTGTATTGTTTAAGGAGTTTCTTGTACAGTTTCTGAACCACAAAACATGCATTTATGAGAGAGAGAGAGAGAGAGAGAGAGAGAGAGAGAGAGAGAGAGAGACAAAGGGACATGCATAAATGCATGTTTTGTGGAGAGAGCGAGAAAATGAGAATTTAAAAGGTGAGCAGACTTTTAGAAATAAAAGGCCAAGAGTGACTGCTGAATGTTTCCCAGAGCTGCCAGCTTTCTCACCTCTTTGTCTGATTTGAGGATGTTTTCTGTGGCCACAGGGCTCACTGCCGTGCCCAGAGGTTTGACCACTGCATTTGCCACCTCTGTCCCCACACTGGGAGGGTAGGTGTGCAGGACGCTGAGGTGACCCTGGTCGCTCTGCACCATCAGCTGCAGCGAGCGCCACTCGGAGTACATGCTGCTGGCGTCTGGTCCTCTTGCTCACACCTCCTGCCTCCCGCCTGCAGACACACAGGCCAGCTGTAGCAGACACACTGGCCAGCTGTAGCAGATACACTACCAGGCTTATTATTTAGTTACTGATTCACCACAGCGGTTACTTTTCCCTGAGTTGATATCACTCTTAAATTAGAAAATTTAGGATTGAGCAAAACTGGATGCAAACAAGCAGGATCAAAACTTATGGCATAAGATATGAAGACAGAGCGGCTTCCTAAAAACCAAAGTTTTTGGTACGCCCTAACCAAATGCAAAGCACCACGGATGTGTGTAAAAGTCTGTAATCGCTCATTCGTGTCTCTCTTCCCTGTGAACATAACCTATCAGTCAGCCCGGATGATTAATGCTGTTACTTTGCTTCTCACTTTCTACTAAAATAGTTTAGCACTTATAAAAAAAATAAAAAAAAAAACACGTGACTGTTTACTTTAGAAAGAACAGTGACCAAATGATCACTGTCAAAATCCCAGGATAGTTACCAAGCACAGAAACCAACCAGGAAACGGATCTTCCACAGAGCAGCTTGTTAGCTTTGGCCAGCATAAAAAATCTTCCTCATCTTACAAATGGCTTTAGCTGAAGTTAGATTGGATGTGCTTTGCTTAAATATCACAAGACCGTTTTCCTGAATGTATTAAAACTGTATCAACATCAAAGTCCAGCAGTTCTTGTTACAAACATACCACTAAATTGAAACTACGTTGTTGTTGTCCGAAGCTAGCCTTGATAACGTTCGCTGCTTTAGCCTCTTCGTCGACATTAGCTTGCTACCGTTTCTGCAAGCTAACTTTGAAATGGTGCTAACGTTTGCTCATTAACTGAGTAATTGTTGTCTGTTTTACCTGGACTCGTTGGGGACGTTGTCATAACAGGCCTCAGAAACTCGCTGTTTGTGCTTTCCGTGTAGCGCCCTACTCTAAACCATAACAGCCTCCATCTTCGCAATGTCAGGGCTTGGATATTCTTCTTCTTTTTTTGTGGCTGTTGGAAAGCAACTTATTGATGTGCATTCCCGCCATCTACTGGAATGGAGTATGGATCGGATTCTACATATAAATTCAACCCCCCAAAAAAACTAATAATATAACAATAATAAGTAAAACTTATATCCTTTCTATCAATTTCGTTTTCTTAAGGTAACTTATGAAATAACAAAAATATTCAGAAGTAATTTTTTTCTCCAAAATATCTTGTATATTCAATTGTAATTTGTTTTCTTGTAACTGACGTACTAATTCCCTTCTCTCAATAGAATATGTAGAGCAAAACAACAAAACAGGTTTTACTGTGTCTTCTTGAAGACAAAAATCACAAGTTCCTGTTGGATGTTTTCCAATTTTATATAATGTATTATTTAACCCTGTATGACCAAAACATAATCTGGTATCCTCTTTTCTACTTCATCCTGTTCTCCAACTTTTCTTTGAATACTGTAAAGCCACCTACCAGTTCTGTCTTCTTCCCACTGCTTCTGCCATCTTTCCATAATCTTTTGTTCAACAATAGATTTGATTTCTTCTTTAATTTATGGAACCAATATATCAACATAACTATTTTTTGTAGCCTCTTTTGCATATTTATCTGCTAACTCATTACCTATTATTCCTACATACGACGGTATCCATGTGAATACAACTATACCCATTGCCTGAATTCTATAAATTAATAACTTAATCTCTAATAAAAGGTCTGGTCTACTAAGAGCATGATTATTTTATAATGAATATAATGATGAACTTGAATCAGAACATAATATACTTTTTAATGGATGAACTTCCTCAATCCATCCTGAAGCGAAAATGATTTCCATCATCTCTCCTGTGTAAACTGATATTCCATCAGTAGTTATTTTACATTTTTAATATTGAATTCTGGAACAATGAATGACACCCTATTATTGCTATTTGATTTTTTTTGAAACATCTGGATAAATTTAGACATAACCATATCTAAATATGTACTATATTTAGAAAATAAGTACTGAAAATGAATCTGAAAGGTTTTCTTTTTTTTCTTTTCTCCAACAAAGTAAAATCAACAACACTATTATGAAATAGAGACGAAGGAACTGGTGATAGAGGAACTGTTGGATTAATATTTATATAATAAATATTTATTTAATAAAGATAAACCAAAGTATTTTATAATGTTTTCTATCTCCCAACCAAACTAATTTAAATTATTTTTTCCCTTTTCCCAACTAGGTTTAAAAATTTCTTGACATGGATGATTTCCATTATATCCCTTTACATGATACAAATAATTATTTTTTAACTGTACTCTTCTGAGATGAAGTGGTATCTCTCCCATTTCCACTAGCAGAGCTGATGTTGGAGTTGTTCTGATGGCTCCTGTACATAACCTCAAGTCTTGATACTGAATATTATCAAATTTTTTCAGTAGTGTTTCTGATGCTGACCCATAAGCTATACTGCCATAATCAAATACCGACCTTATTGCTTTCAATGCTTTTCCTCTCAGCAGCCCATTCTCTCCCCACCTAACACCTCATTACATTTAAAACTCGCTTACATTTATCCACTACTTTTTGAGTATGAACTTACCAAGTAAGTTTTTTCATCCAGCCATAAACTCAAAAACTTAAATTCCTTAACCCTTTCTCATCATTATATATTTGCAATTTTAAATTTTAGATACTTTCCTCCTTGTAAAAAATAAAGTCTTTGATTTGTCTACAGAAAATTTAAAGCCCCATTTAAAAGACCATTCTTCTATATTATTAATTGCTTCTTGTATATTTTTAACAATGAATTTTAAATTTGTACCCCTCTTCCAAATTTCTCCATCATCAGCAAATAAAGAAAACCCCATTCCACTCTCCAAATTGTCAAACATATCATTGATCATAATAGAAAAAAACAAAGGACTTACTATACTTCCCTGAGGTGTACCATTCTCTACAAAAAACTTTTCTGACAATTGTTGTCCTACTCTTACTTGTATTGATCCATCTTGTAAAAAATCTTTTATCCAATAAAACATTGATCCACTAATTCCCTTTTTTTTCAATTTAATAAAAAAATCTTCCTTCCACATCATATTATAAGCTTTCTCTATATCAAAGAAAACAACCACCATGCTCTGATTAGTGACTTGCCCTGTTCTGATTTCATGTTCTAAACATAAAATAGGATCCATACTACTCCTACCTTTTCTAAATCCACTTTGACATTTTGATAAATATCCCTTATTCAACAAAGTAGCTCAATCTTTCATTTATCATTCTCTCCATTATATTACCTAAATGTGAAGTTAAAGCAATAGGTGTATAACTTGCTGGATTTAACCGCTCTTTAACTGGCTTTAAGATTAGAACTACAATTGCTTCTTTCCATGCCACAAATAAAAAAAACACATCCCATATTATTATGGAATTCCAATAAAAGCTTCTTAGCTGAATTACTAAGCTTGTTAACCATAATATATGTAATGTTATTTTTTCCTGGAGATGGATTTTTTGATTTCCTAAGGCATTATTTAATGAAAATAAAGAAAAGGGACTGTTTAATAAGTCATTACATCATACATTTTCTTCTAATAAATTAACATTCTCATTAATTGTACAAACTCTTCTTTGTTCTTCTTCTATACTTAAATTATTACAACTATGAACTTTAACAAATGTTTTAAAGCATGTTTGCTTTCTCCTCCTCTGTCACAGCAATAATATTTCCATCTTTCAGAACTGGACATCCATATTCACTTCTAATTCTATTCATTCACTTTATCATTCCCCAAACTTGTGAAATTTTTGTTTCCCTTTGGTACTATTTTATTCTTATATTTACCTCTTTTCCTTTGGATTGTTTCCCATGCAGCACCTAAAATAGCTTCACAAATAAAAAAAATTACTTTATCAACATCTAAATCTATATTAACTTTTTGCATTTCTTCATCACTTATTATTTTATATATTTCCCAATCAACATTTCCAAATATCCATCTTTCTATGCTTTTGTGATGGCCAAATCCATGGCCACACCCTGATGTCGACAAAAGATGGGGGCCAGGGCTCAGCAAGATTAAGTGCTGATTAGATTACACTACTAGTTCCTGATGGCAGGGGGAAATGGTAGTTTTTCTGTTTAGATAAGTTTTGTAATTAAGTAAACATTAGTATTTAAAGTTTATTTTTGATTTTCATTTTTGGGTCTTTAGTTTAGCCAAACTTAGCTATACTATTTGTTTTGTGTTATTTGTATCCTAGTTACTCATATTGTGTCTTGGTCTGATCAGCCAGTATATAAACCCCTGTGTGTCATTTCTTTGTGAGGTCAGTTATGTTTGTTTGTGCAGCTAGTTTGCTTACACTTTTTGAATGAGTTCGGTTTTGTTCTGTTTTTACCTCTTTTATGAGCTCAGTTTATCTTTTGTCATTTATGATTTTTGGGTTAAAATTAAAAAAAAAAAATTCTAAAAATATCCTGTGACTCCTCCTGTTTTTTACTCAGACCATCACAGCTTTCATAATAATTTTTTTCAATTTGTAGACCAATTTCCATGAGTATAGGATAATGATCACTTCCTATAGTTGATTCTCTTAATATTTTCCAATTACTAATCCCTGCAAAATTCTCTGAAGCTAAAGTTAAATCTAATGCTGATTCATTTCCATTTTTAATATTAATCTATGTCCCTTCTCCATTATTAAGACATACCAATTGTTTTCTATCCATTATTTCTTCCACCACCTCTCCATTGGCATCATTCCTATTACCCCACAAAGTGCTAAACGCATTAAAATTTCCACAACAAATTTTTTTTTCCTGTATTTTTAAACATTTCCTCCTACTGTATATTCAGTTTTTTACATGAATTATAAAAATGTATTATTTTAATACTTTCTTTATTAATCCAAATTTCCACAGGAAACCATTCTGGTGTTGTTCCTTTTCATAAACATCTGTATTGTATTCCTTGTTTTATAAATATTACACATCCTCCTGCACTTTCATTCTCCCTGTCTCTTCTAACACTATGATATCATAGAGTTAGATTTTGCTATCAGAAAATCTAACTCTGGTTTAAGCCATGTTTCTTGAACATAAATAATATCTGGTTTACTTTCCAAATAATTAAAATATCCTTTAAACTCTTGAAGGAGTTTGCTAATAAACTTCTTGCGTTCCATTGTAAAATGAACATTAAAGCCTTCCTCCACCTGGTTTCCCATCTATTTCAAGCCTTTTATTTATTAACTCCCAAGATAAATCCTTCACAGCTAAAAAGTTTTCAGCACTTTTCACTATAATCTTGATTCTTTCAGTTTTCTGCTTCACTTGATCAGTACAGTTAATAACATATCCAATGAATAAAATTAATTTATCCATTGTGATTTCCATTCCTGACATTGTTCTTTGACTGGTCCCAAAACTTTGATTAGAAGACCCTTGTTGATTTTTTGAACTGTTCTTTTTTTCTTGAACACTTTTTCCTGTCTCTGCATAAGTAAGTATACTTATGCAGAAGTAAGTCAAAAGACTCACAGTGATTATTTAATTGAAACAGACTGGGGCAGAGAGTCGAGGCAGGAGGTCATTTTAAGCCATGGCACCTCCTAGAGTGCAGGGGTGGGCTTCCTCTTTTCTACAGCTTTCACCCCAAACTACCGAAGTTGAACACATCATTCAGGGCAGGTGTCTTTTAGCCAAAGCAAAGTTTGATCGTTTTAGCCTGGTTTTTATTAATATTTATGCTCTTATCACCAATGCAGAGAAAAAGCATTGTTATAAAAAAATTGGGGAAAGGTTGGGTGATTGTGGGCCTGAGGATTATGTTTTTATAGGTTTTTATAGATTATGTTTTAATTGTACTGAAAACAAGTTTTTAGACCGTAATCACGCAGAGCCACATCCAGCAGCCCAACGTGCTCAGCGGCAGCTGGTCTCATCTCACGACCTGGTGGACATAAAGGAGGAGGATGCACGCAGGCTCCAG